GAACTGGCCCAGTCCCCCCTTCAAGGTAGGGGGCCGGGGGGGGGGGGCGGTTCATTTCCGAGGCTGCCCAGACGTCTGCTTTGGGACTTCCGCGGTACGATGAAAACTGGGCACATGGGGAGGTGATGATGCTGGAATATACTGATCCCTCAGCCGTCTGATGCTGTCATGTGGGCTGAGGGAGGGGAAGGTAGGAATGCAGAAACCTTTGGGGCCAGGCTTCTGGTTTCATGGGAAAACAGTGATAAGAATTGCAGTCAAGTGCTGTAAACATTTGTGATTCAATTTAGTAACCTTTGCCAATGCTATTCTAAGGAAAATAAATATTTTCCTCATTTGTCTTATCTTGTATAACATACATTCTATGATTATGAACTCAACTGTAGAAGACTTGTAGAGTGGGGAACCTTCTATTAGTACAATTTGATGTTCTGAGAAGATAAGAAGGATGGTTTTTAGTTCTCATACAGTTACAGCACATGCGTCCATTGCATTAACAGTGGCTATTGATAAAATAATTTTTCTTTAACACCCAAAGAGAAGGTTGGGTTCTGAATTCCAGGGTGGGTTTGTAGATTATTCTGCTGCTTGAATTTTTTTTTTTAACTACTTTCAAATGACTTGAAATTAGTACTTAATCTACCCCAGCTGTGTATGGGTTACTTTTTTTTTAATGTTTAATGGCTGACGGTCACATTTATATTTTGTGTACATTTTTGCTTAAATCTATAAATACATGCTCTCAAACTTTCCAAGTTCCCTGATTGGTCTGATAAGCTTTTTAACCCTTCTAGAGTTTCAGATTTGAACAAAAGACTATAGACCTATATAATTCTTAATTGGGGATAAGTTGCATTTCTTGCATTTCTATCTCAGTGCGTAATGGGTCGGGGAGCAGGGTTTGAGTGGCTTAGCCTAAGACATATCCTAGTATTTCGACAGCATTTTTCTTCAGCTTTCTTCTCTGTAACTGAAAATTGTTCAGCCTGCCACTTACCAATTATTTGGGGCTAATTGCCTGAATGGTGGTGTTAAATCTATTAGCTGACTTTCCCATCCTTTCCTGAACACCAGCTCTGAACCACTGTGGAGCAGTTTGTCTAATAAAGCTATTAAAGCACAAGTTGGGCCCAAATAGTGCGTCTCGCAGGAGAGCGAGACAGATGTTTGGTCAGGGTTGGGACCCCTTCACCAGGAAAGCCAACCAGTGAGTCGAGGATACTAGGCTTTTGGGCGGGGTCTTACCTTGGGGTGTCATTGGCATTCCTAATTTCACACTGTCCTTTATTTTGACCTTTGAAAGACTTGTGAGGGAAGGTGGTTTACTGGAGAATTCCATCGAAGTGGATTATTTTAGTGTTCTAGAGGGAGAGAGTGATATCTATGAATTTTTAACCCGGCATAAAGGCACTCCAGGGCCCACAGCGTTTCACCCTAATTGCATTCCCAGGCCAGTTGAAAGCTCTCAGTCTTTGGCCTTTTGCCTTGTAATGCAGCTGAGGCTTGTGATTATGATACCATGATGCATGTCCTGTCACGGTTTACTGCTTAATTAATTCCTATTGTAAAACATAGAACTATTGAGGACTAACGCTATTCTCCACCTTGAGCACTGGTCATCTTGTGGGCTGCATTCCACAGAGTCTGTGTATTAGCCACACAGACCCCAGCACCTGAGACAGGATTTCTGGTGAGCTCAGGATCCCATCCCAGGTCTTTTCCTATTAAATGCATCCTGTCAAAATATCTGGCCTGACACTTTTCTTTGGCTCACAAAAGGTGGTTAATATCTTTGTTTTATTCTGGGGACATGCAGTGCTGGCACCCAGCATCTAGATTAATGAACAGAAAGCGCTGGATCAAGAGAGGCTGTGTTCTTAAGGCCCTTTTCCATAAGGTAAAAGTATAGTACAGTAGACACAGTCAAAACCAGAGATGTTCGTACCTCGGACTGACTAATAATTGGATTCTTCTTTAAACCACATGTTCCACATTTATTTGGAAAGGGAGATTGAACACTTCTAAACACTTCTAAACTGCCTTGGAGTTCCAGCTCTGAGTCTGCATTTGCATCCTCCTCAGGAGAAAAACAAAAAAACCTCTGAGGAGAACCAGGGCTTTCTTAGAGGATGGTTCAGCAATTTAGGTAACAGCTATTATACATTTAGAATTTTCTTCAGGGAGTAGGGGAAAAAATGGTATATCAGAGTGTTCTAACAACATGGAAAACTCTCCCTGAGAAGTGTTTTGCCGAAAGTGATTTTTCTCCAGGATGCCTCTTAACCCAGGGTAGGGCACACGTTGTCACACAGTAGACAGGGCTTCCCCAGCCATAGCTGGGGCCATTCTCCAGGAAGTCCTAACTTACCCCAGACCTGACTCCCCACCAGACAGAAGCAGTTAAAGCAAAGCTTGTTCATTACTTCCCACTCAGCAAAGAGGCTGCTTCGGGTGGAAAGAATACTGTTTTGTTTTGGTTTTTTAACATAAAAAATATAAAAAGGCATAATCAGACTACAATGCATCTCCCTTTTAATAATTTTTATGACTTTTATAACCAGGATTGGGGGAGGGAGCTACAGACTTAACAAGTGGAGATTACCCTGTTTAAAAAAAAAAAAAAAGGCCCGCGTGGTACCCCCTCCAAAGCTGACGTGGCAGGAAATAATCCATCACAGATGTTTTCACAACAACCATCATCTGAAGTATGAGTTAAGCAGTATACATACGCCTCCTTTTCCACTACCTATAATATACCATGTGCCCTTGCCTGCTTTCCTTATCTGCACTCAGTCTGTCTTTTATTATTGCTATTATTTTGGAGTTGGATTCATCATTGCAGTACGATGCAGGGTAACGACACCAAGGTAGAGCCACGGTGCATCAGCAGAGCGGGGATTCCTGTAGACAGGCAGCGTGGCATCCTTCAGGGACCAGCAGGGTGGTGCTTTTAGGCTTTGTGACTGTGTCATTGCAATGAAGCATGTTAACGCAGTGTTTCTGATGTTCTGACTCTTTCAGGATTCATGGGAAGGCACCCACATTTATTTTTCTTTATGAAGTCTTTACTTAATTGAGGGTGTAGGTTCATGCTCTAATAATTCAAATCATTAATGCCGTTCCCATTGGAAATAGTCCTGAACGCCCCATCTGTTGCCACCGCTACTACTTTAAGGCTGTCTCTGCCTCCGCCTTGATGCATTCTTATAAGCTCCCATAAAAATGCAGGGATCATTTAGTGAGATTGCTAAGATCCCCTTCATTTCTTTGCGTGTTGTGGCTGCAGGCGGGCTGGCAGGTGTTGGTTGTGGAGGAGACGAGAGGGCTGTGATTGAATCCCCGGAACCTACAAGGTAGTACAGTGCACGTGAGATGACGGGGCCGAATATCCTAGTGGGCAAATGTGTTTATTTGCTTTAAAACCAAGTGGCCTTTTCTAGAAGGTATTTTTTATTACTCTGTCTTCTGCCTATTGCTAAGTAATTAGTGAGCAACTATATCGAGTCACAGAAATTTATTTTTTTAAAGGGGTGAGTTACCTGTCATTTTCAAGGGAAAATGGAGGGCTGTACTTCTTTATCCCCACATTGTGGTTTTAGTTTGTCATTTCAACCACTTTACTTCAGCTACTGTTCTCCCTGCTTTCTTCCCTCCCTCCTGCAGACTTTTATTATAATTTTTTTTTAATTTCAAGGAGGTCTTTTCTGAGCTTTAGCTTCTGGCATTTTCCCTGCTTCATTTGTTTTAGTGCTAATGAAATGGCTAACAGTCAATGAGGGGCAGAGGAAAAAGCACTGGGTCTGAAAATTCATGTGCTATATAGTTACCTCCTAGATAATTAAGGATAAGTTTATGTTTACATGGTAATCATAACCATGTTGCCCTCATCTGTGTAGCAATTTGCAGTTTATAAAGAAGCTTCATGTCCCGTATATTATTTGATCCTCTGAACAACATTGTATGATAGGTAGAACAGGTGGCATTGTCCCCATTTTACAGATGAGGAGACTGAGGCCCAGGGGTTATTGTGTTCTGTCCAATGCCATTCAAATAGTGAGCAGAGTCAGAATTTGATATGCCAAATTCAGGATTCTCTGTTCTGAGTGCTTGGTCATTTACCTACTGACCAGCTAGTTGAGGAGAGGATTCACACTCTGGAATAATTGTCATTTGCTTCCATTGTATAAATTGAAAGGCTATTTGTTTTCATCCCGAAAGAGCTCTCTGAAGAGGCTGTTTGTTTCTATACTGAAGTTTACACATTTTCACTCCGTCTATAGTGTTTCTACACAATGTAGCAAAAAAGATAATTTACTCTGGAAAGTACTTTTAATTCAATCGATGTTAAATATGTATTATAGTAAGCATTTGATTGCCTTGAAAGTCTTCTGTTTGTGGACAGAGCTGTGTATGCGTGTTTCTCTACGTATATAGATGTGTGTGGCTGACTTATCTGAAGCTCTGTTTTAACTATTTACTAATAAAGCAAATGAGGGTTCATTTTAGATCTTTTAGTGTTAATAATAAGATCTAGCTTGATAAATTCTTACGTGAATGTCACACTTTAACCATTACTGGGAATACCCCTTCTGATATTCTCTTGATGCGTGTGATAGAACGCTGAGTCCAGTGGTTCAAGCAAGTAAGGCTCCCTATCCGCCCTAAATCCCCCCCTTCCCCGCCACCCCATATAATAATAGGCCTGGAGGTAAGTGATTCATGGTCAGTGTGGTGGAAAAGATGCTACTGAGGACATAGACTCCTCGCCTTCCTGCTCTGCCATCTTTCACATCTTGCATTCATCCGCTTGAGGGGACAACAACTGCTGCACTTCCAGGATGGCATCTTCTTTCCAGACAGGAAGGAGGAGCAGAGGGCAAAAGCCTCATGCCCATTGTCCATACCCTTTCGAAAATTTTCCTAAAAGGCCAGTGACTTCTGACAAATAAACTGTAAATAGCAGTGTCTGCCCAGTGCTGCAAGTGGGTCTCGGAGGCAAGTATTTCGCTGGGCATATTGCCACTCCCAGAAAATCAAGCTTCTGCTAGTAAAGAAGAAGGGATAAATGGATATTAGGTAGGCAGTTCGCTGTGTCTGTCATGATTTTGCAATGGGAGTAACTGATTTTGTTATTAAACCCATAGTTATATCTGTAAAAAAATAGTTCCAGAGGTTGAATAAGGCAATAATAGCTCAGTCTGGAGTTGCGCAATTAATTGGATTGAGGTTCACTATGTCTTATGTTTCTGCGTCAAATATGTCAGGAATAGGGAGCACATTTTCTGTTGAGAGCCACTGACCCATAGGGAATAGTTCACAACTTTACTGTTTTTTTAAAAGAAAACTAATTGTAAGAAGAAAAGGTCAAAAGTTTCCATTCTGCTTTTTCAACTGGAAGTTAGGTAATCTAAAACTTCATTGAATAAATAATAGGCTGAATAATTAAAATTATTCCTTTTAAGATGATTGTACTAAAGAGAACAGAAGCATGTGATAGAAAAGGAGTACCAGACAACTAAAAATAAGCGAAATGGTTTGCCAGTTGGTTTCTCTGTGCAAATACTTTTTCTTTCATCTTGATGCGGATTTTCCTCTCTCCCCGACAAAGCTTACTAAAATCAACCCCCCTCCATCCCAATTTACTCACAACAAACATACCTAGAACCCATACTATCCAGGCATAGCATCTATTTCTGTCAAAATTATTAGTAAAATAGGAATAGAAAGACATGTAACATGATAAAAGATTCTTTCAAACCCATAACCAACATCACTGTTAATGTTGAAACCTTAGAGGCATCCTCCCGAAAGCCAGGCAAGACCAATAGTGCCTCTGTCACCACTTTTGTTTATCATATTTCTGGAAGTTGGAGCCAATTCAAGAAATGAGGTATAACTATTCCCAAATGGGGAGGCAAAGGCATCCTTTCTTTCTGCAGATGATACTTACCCAGATACTCAAGTGCATCAACTGAATGTGACTAATGGAATGAATATAGATTTTTATTTATTTTTTGTCAAAGCATAACAAAATGTACAGCTAGATGAATTTTAACAAAGTGAATGCATCTTTTGTAACGAGCCCCCAAATCAAGCAGCAAAACAGTTCCAGCACCCCAGAAGGCTTCCTTGAGCCCCTTTCTAGTCACTACCCATGATCTTCAGGAGGTGGAAATGTAGACGGTTTTATTCTTTTTCCTTGTGGGTTCTTGAGTTTTCTAAACTTTCAACAGTAATATAATCAGAAAGAAAAATGATCATTATATATATGTGTGTGTCTGCGTGTACGTACTTTTTCTATAAGGAGTTCTGTTATTTCCAGGCTGGAATTTCCTTTCATCTATTAAGTACAGCCACTGTCCATTGAGTCGGTAACTAATTTTTAAAAGGGGTCTTGAAATTCTGTCTCCCGCTAGCTACCCATTCTCACTCCCACCCCTATAGTAAAATGGTCTGTTGATGACTTGGAAGTAGGAATCAGTTTAAAGACTATGAACGAGAACATGTAGTCTGCTCTCATTGAGAAATTCAGAGGGTTAATTAATATTCCTTTGACCTACCAAATTGGCTAAGAAGTAGGTTGGTGGCATTACCAGTATAGGACCTTCCTGCTATAAATGAGACTATTAATCACTTGGTTCCATATTTGACTCCCTCCATCTCTCTCTCTTTTTGCCTTTTGATGTCTGTTGCTTATTGCCTAAACTTTCTCTTATTTACTCCTCTAGATTGTGAACCTTATAGAAGAAACTGGACACTTTCATATCACAAACACAACATTTGATTTTGACCTTTGCTCGCTGGACAAAACCACAGTCCGTAAACTACAGAGTTACCTGGAAACATCTGGAACATCCTGAGGCTACAATAACTGGATGCATCAAAAACTCTGGTTTTTTTTTTGTTTTGGTTTTTTTTTTTTTGGTTGTGATTTTTTTTCTTGTTTGTTTATATGGAAACACTCAGAATGATGCAACCAAAAGGGAAAAAATAAAAAGCAAACAACCTTCAGCTTTATTTTTCTTTAAAGCCAGTCATCATCTCTTGATAAAGGAGAGGTTAAGCAAACCAGCCTCAGCGGACCACTCTTCTCTCCAAGGAAATCCCCGGGAAGAGTTAGCCTGGATAGCCTTGAAAACAAACAGATCAAATACAACACGAGAAAACTTAAAGAATGTGTATGGTATCATGTATCTCTCTCTGTGGTGGTTCATTCCACAGGACGAATGCATATTCAACACACTGCCTTATTACATAACTGATCTATTTATTATCGCATACAGATATTCTAGAGTCGTTGAGGGAATGACACCACAAGACATTCTAAGTACTCGGTCCCGTGGATGCTCTTTCAATGCAGCGCCCTTGCCATCCCAAGCCCAGTGACCTTACTCGTATACCGTGCCACTCTCCACCAACTTTTTCCAAGTCCCTTAACTCGTTGCAGTCTGTATTTTCCACCTTGTTTTTCCAGTCCCAGGACACAAATGATCAACTGGGGGGACCAAATAGCCACCCTGATTTTCTTCTTTGTGGTCTTTTTCCTGAAAGTTGGGGCCCAGTCCTTGGCTGTATCCATATAATGATCTTGGACCATGGTTAGAAAACGCACCAAATAGGATCATACGAATTGCTGTCTAGCCTTAGTCAATAAACCTGTAGGACTTTTAAACAAATGTGTACCTGTAAACGTCCTGCATCCAGCATTGTTGAGATGTCATCAACACCCTTGTGTCTGTTTTACTGTTACGGTATTAGGTAAATATGGAAGTGAATGCATTCCACAGGATCATAATTTTTAAAAGAGGAATTCTGGTTCTGTTTTCTAAAGAAATGTTGTAGAAATTCTTAATTTGGTTCTATTTATTAGTAAGAGTTTCAGCTTTCTTCGGCTGCCAGTGTGTTACCCATCTTGACCATAAAATCTGGAAGAAGAGATTTTTGTTTGTTCACATATGATCCTCTTAGACTCTTTTATATTTGAAAAATTAAAATCTTTCTTTGGGGGAAAATTCTTGGTTATTCTGCCATAACAGATTATGTATTAACTTGTAGATTCAGTGGTTCGATACCTGTTTAGTCACTTGCTTATGTTTCCAGAAGGATTTCTTGTATTGGTGAATATAAAGATGGTTGGGGAGGGGGGGGATATTTTTGTTCTTGATGTACCCTGTTTTGAAACTAGAAATCTGTCCTGTGGCATGCAAAAGAAAGCAAATTATTTTTAAAGAAAAAAAAAAAACCAAACCAAAGTACTTTTGGTGTCATTATTCCATTCTCTCCATAAGTGGAGAATGCAAAATGAGAACAGTTCATCTTCCAAGTTTTTGCTAGGAATTCAACCGAAAAGAAAAGAAACGAAGAAATACTTCTGGATCCAAAGGTTCGTTCACTGGATCAGCCTTAAGAAAGTCTCTCTGTGTGCTCATGGACCAGTATCTCCCTTGTTTATTCCCATGCCAGATGCTGTCTTTTCATACAGAGATTAACTAGTGTCTGTACAGAAAATGGTCTTTCCAGACCCATTCTTTTGGGCAGGAATGTAAATGCAGATTGATAATGGAGTTATTTCTGCATTTCAACAAGGGGATTTTTTTTTTTTTAACATTGTTTCTTTCTATCCAGAGACACTGTCTTTTCCTTTAAAAAAAATTATAATACAGCCATGCTCCTTGTAAATTACTTTTCAGAAGCATCCCATTGAGGACAAGTGTACTTTTTCAATAATGTTATGACTCTTGATGATTGGCATGACTGACCTTGAAGCATTTGTTTTGTAGTCCACTTCTCAATGTTTAATTACAGAGAAACTTTCTGAGTCATTTTGGACATTAGGTGACTGATGAATTGAGTGGTTTTAGTTGTGTTTTGTTTCTTTTTTTAACTTTACAGGTGAAAGGGGTGGGCAATGCTTATATGGAATTTTTTGCAACATTTAAAAATCTTTAAAAATTTCTAAATGCTAATCCACATATTCTAATTAAGCCAGAAATGTATGTGGTTTAACTAAAATATCTATATAGCTTAACTAGAAATGTATATATGTAGTTTGGGCCATTTTTATTTTTGTATCTAAATTGTGTGGCCAAAACCATGATTTGGCAATGTAAAGATTTTTTTGTTCCCTAGGTTACTAACCAAGAAACTGGTTAACATAAGTAACCAGACAAAAAGGAGAGCAAGAAGGGAAGCTATTACAGTGATAAACTTTAGACCTAAAATTTAGGTAATAAAGTAAATGTCTTCAGAATATCATCTGTAAATTAATAAAATTCAGGAAAACTTGCCCTTCTGTTATTCATAGAGACAGCAAAATGAATTTTCCATGAAATTCCAATAGAATAAGAGTCATGCTGTTGAGTTTTTAGAAGTTGAACTCTTGCTCTCATCTAATTTTTAAATGCAGAAATAATAAATCCCCTTTCCATTAAATTCAAATAGTTACACTTAAAGTAACCCACTCAGTTCTGCCACGTTTATATACACTCACCTTTGAAACCTGTTAAAAGATTTTTGGCATGCGTGTATTCTAATGGTGGCTTTGGTTTTTTTTAAGCACAAAGGGAAAATGGCAGGGTTTAATTTTTTGGTCTAAATAAAATTAATTGGGTGAGTGTGACTGTGGTTTAAGCCAGCCAGAGTATGATAAACTTTCTTTAAATTTTCCCCCAGTAATTTGAGGGGAAGGAAACATGTACAGAACTTTTTTCCCCCTTACCAATTACCTTCTGCCCCTGGTTTCAAAGCAGGATATGTATGAGAGGGGGTGCTTCTATCTTAGCATATAGCAGATGTGTTAGCAACAAAAATGCTTGCAGCTATTTTGTTTCTTCACCATAATCCACCTCTCTCGCTCTATGCAGACAAATAGAGATGTCTATATATGCTTGCATATTGTGTCAAAGTTGGGGAGAACATAAAAACTTAAGATCAGGAAACAAAAACTGTAGAGGAAAAAAGTCCTAGGAGAGTGTCCTAAACATTTTAAAATTGCGAAGCAAATCTCTCTAATCTGAATAATTACCCACATTTTGTGGAAAGAGCCAATAAAATTGGTTCTCCTGCACTGAAAACTTTCTTCCACCAAAAATGTTTCTCCTGATACCTTTTACAGACCTATCTACTCTTTAAAATAGACAGTTTAGGCATGCATAACATCCCACATACTGTTTCAAGCCCCGCACATGTTAACAAGTTGACATATTGTTTAAGAGAGACTTTATTCGTAAATATTTTAACTCTCCCCAGGTGACAGAGTTGGATGTTCAGTGTTGGAAGTGGTCAGTGCTGGTGTTGGGTGGTGTGTGTTCATTTTTCTCCCTGTGGCGGTGACCAGCTCTGGACTAGTTTGCTGCATGCTCGTTACTTTCCACCCTTAGCATTTTTGTGTACTAATGCTTTGTACTCCATGTGTACACACATCATCTTGCTTTGGACTATTGCTCTAAAGCTATGAGTATAATGACTACTACAGCTGCCATGAATGCTGAAGAGTCGATTCCCATGATTTAGTCTAGTCGGGCTGGAAGTCGACATCTTTTGACCTCTTTTGTTTTATACGGTGCCTTTTTATCACGTAGGCACTGCTGTCCCCAAATATCCCTTCTAAAGATGCATTGAAGAAGTCAAAGGAAGACAAAGCCACCTCTGTCTGTAAACTGTAAATATATATTTTGGCGCTTGTACTCCAGTATTCTGAAAATAGAGTTATGATGGAAATGTTGACAGATCCTTAACGGTGGCCAGAGCTACCATGCAGTGCAAAAATAAATTAAGTAAATTGTATTCTTGAGATTAACAGTGCAAGGCCAGTACGTTTTATAAATCTGTCAGTATCTTTTTTTTTAATGGAGTGTGTATGTGTAGTTATGTTGAAAGATACACTGTGTATGTGTGTGTAGATGCTATTATGTGAACTACAAGGCATTCGTCAGATGTATTTCCCATCTCTAAAACCCATGTTGAAATGTAAGTACAGATGGACAGAAATAGCTGTTTCACTTAAATTCATATCGAATCCGTTGTGGCTCCGTTTTCTTAACAATTCAGTAAGACTGTACGTTGTAAAGAGTCATTCGATCAAAGTTTGGTTTCCCTTTGCATACAGGAAAGATGAGCCCCCAGCCTTTCTCAAGAAGTGATGCTGGTCTTAAGGAAGAAAGAATGGCGAGATCAGAACCAGCTGAGAGCACAGTTCGTGCCCCATTCATCTGTGAGTCCCTAGGGTCTAGCACCACTTTCTGTGTCCTAAAACCAGTACATTCTTTAAGCTCTGCAGAGACTGGACAAGAAATGGTAGGGTACATTCTTGGAATAAACCAGGTTACTTGTGCATGGTGTTCTTTTTCTTTTTCCCCCTATTTCTCCCAGAGGTTTTGTTCATAAACTAAACAAAGGCCTTGCATTTACTCTAGTGACAAGAAATGCTACCTTTTGATTGGACAGGAAGGAGAAAAGCTACTGCAACAAAGAGAATAGAATACTTTCAGCTTGGCAAGGAACCAAGGCACTGGATGTAATGCTCTGTGTAATGCTCTTTAAGAGTAAAGAGACATTAGATTTGAGAAACTCACCTTATCTTCAGGCAACAAGCCATGAGGGGATGATAGTGGACTGCCTGGTATCTTATCAACTAGCAACTGATTTTAGGTGTGGAAGCATCAGTCCCAGATGGGCTCGGCTGACAGTTAGGCTTTTGAATGACCAGGCTTGAATTGGACTAATCTCTTCCCTTGTTTCAGCATAGATATTCGTTTGTTTATTTTAAAATAATGGCCTGAAATTTTCTGCAGCATGGAGAAAGTCAGGGTGGGCATCCTGGGCCTGCTGAAGACAACTCAGGTTGTCGTCTCCAAGTGTTCTCACACGGGAAGAGCACTGAGCCCCAGTTCCCCCCAGTACATTTGTTTCACCGTCTCCCAGAATTATGGTCCCACTTGGATACGCAAGGGGTCCTGGAGAGAGATGGCAGCTCAACTGAGGCCTGACGCCAAGACCTCTCTGCTTGG